GATCGCATCCGGGCAAGAATAACGTCCTCATACGAACTTGCTTCTCGACAAGCCTCTAGCTTTTTCTTCCGTACGCTTCCATGCTGAACAGTGCGACGTGGCTGTATCTGAGGGTGATTTCAGGATATCTCTTGCAGTTCGGATTTTGGAGTAACTACTTATCTTCAAGCAAAAATCGTGTCTCCTCTGGCAGTGCGGATTTGAGGATTTTAGAATCACTACATATCTTCAAACGAAAACCGTTTCACAGCAATGCATTCAGTTTCTATTCTCTTGAAATAGTGAATCGCTATGCTTTTGTTCGAGTGTTTTTCTTAGGTAATAATCTTTACGTGTCTCCTATGACTCTGTGTTCCGCGAGTGCTTCTTTTCACTTTCGGGTTATTTTGTATTTCATTTCTTTTTAGGTTTTGATATCTGACTTAGGAATTTGGATGTTAAAATGATTGTTTTCATTTATTAGATTGTCGAACTGATGATGGAGCACGACTCCGAAATTTTTTCAAAATCGATATTGTGAATTTGCTTGGCGTTTTATTTGTTTTTAAATTCCTTGCGCCTGACGATATATCGTTTACGTTTAAGTAGAACGCAATGCCATGAAATAACTAATTAGTATTTACAGATATTTTGAAATACATAAAAACACGGAAAAATAAGATAATCCGTATAAACTGTTGGCAAAGATTACCAATGACTCACCTGCATTGGTATAATGATGCGATATGTGTCAACAGACCGGGGCATTGACCCAAGATGTTCGCCGAAGAAGGTCGACCGCCAGCCATGGACCAAGGATCGAGAAGCCTGATTGTTCGAAGGAACTGCAGTACCAGGACGTGGATTGGCACTGCTCTGTAATGCCATTCCAGTCACAACTGAGATCGTAGATGTACTCTGGAAACTATTGTGGAACTCATCAAAAGTAAAACTACCTTGTCATTATTGTTACTAGGTGTATATCATCAATTCTTATTCATCATCGTCAATTATTAGAAGGAAATTTCATTTTGATGTGACGCTGTATGCGCCAATGTAAAAAAATTTACTTGTAAGTGAAAAAATAGTTTCGTCTGCTGCTGCTCTTCGGAAACGAATCCAAAAATTCTTCAAACATAGTAAAAACTCATTCATTCTGAATTCAATTTACATTGTTGGAGCTTGTTTTTGCCCTTCTACAGGGTCTGGCATATTTATGGCAACGCATATTTTTTTTTGTTATTTCTCATTGAAACAAACAGGTGCATTGTTTTTTATTGGATGAGCTAGTAGCTAAGAATTACCTAAACAATTCTCAGACATATTTATTCCATATGGCCACCCTTATTTTTAATGACGGTCTCCATTCACAGGATACACGCAGCATTTCTTGAGGGATCAAGTCCCATTCTCGTGTCAATTTGGACTTCAAACTATTCAAAGAATCATAAGGTGTTCTGCAGACCCTACTCTCTAAAATAGCCCACGCAGAAAAGTCGAGAGGATTCATATCGGGGCTTCTTGAGGGCCATGCATTTTTGCTAATGAACGCTGGGATGTAACCCTGAATCCAGTTTTGGGTCATTTTTGAGCCATGTGATGGGGCAGAGTCTTATTGAAACTCAATGGTGAGCCGTTGAAGTGGTTACGGGCCCAAGGTAACAACACAGCTTTCAAAATGTCCGAAATGTATCGCTGACTGTTCAATTTTACTCCTGAGGGGACAAAAAAGGAGTGGAGACCTCCCAGTGGCGGTTACCGCGGCCCAAACCATCACGGACATAGGATTTTGACGTCGTGTTGCTGTTCTGGTGTCCACAGATCCATCCCGACTCACAGATCCATCCCGATCCATCCAAACTGTCATTTTGACGGTTAACGCTTTGTTCACTGTTAAATTTTTTCTCGCCACTGAACACCAAGTTAGGCAGCGTGCCATCCTCAATGAGATCCAGAATGTGCTGGCATCTTTCGAGCCTCATTCGCTCATGACGGTCTGTTAGTTCATGCCTTGTTTGCATTTTGTACGGGAAGGTTTTGAGGTCATCTTTGAGGACTCTACGCATTGATGTCTGACTGACTCCTGCTTCTGCAGCCAATTTTGCAGCTGAGCGACGAGGGTTTCTCCTCAACTTCTCCCTCGTGTTTTTGACCATTTGTTTTGTTCAGACACTTCGTTTCCTTCCTTGACCAGGTCGATTGCATGTTTCACCAGTTTCCTTGATTTTTTTACCACCTTCCACGCAGTTTCACGACGAATTTGGAGCTTTTTTGCAATGACTGAACTACTCTCGCCCTTTTCATGAAGAGTTACAATTGCATTTCTATCTACTGCCATAAGTAATAGTAAATTTAGACACCTTAGACTTCTGTAATATAAAATAGATAAATTAATACATGATATTAAACTTCATTATAAAAGAAAAGTCTCCAAGAAACCAATTTATTCTTATATAGCAAACATCCGTTGCCATAAATATGGCGGACCCTGTATTATCTACACCTTAACACTGCTTTTGAAGATATTTCTCTTAGCGGGCGGCAATTGTTGTAGGTGGTATGATTTAATATCATTCACCAGCAGATACGAACGTTGTTTACCTCACTAAAAACTATGTTGAGAATCTCTTGATCGACAAACAATTCATACTTGAAGACTTGAACCACAATCTTCAACATGGGCTGCCAGTCAAACTGGAGGTAGCGCCATCGCGTCAGGCTACTTAACATAACAGCGATGTTCAGACCTCTCTTTCAATAATACGGAAACTGGATGGAAAGCATGAAAGTTGTGCCATTGCGTTTGTTAGTTAACATCACAGGGGCGCTTGGACCTCTCTCTCCATAATACAGAAAGAGGATGGTAAACATGAAAGTTGTGCCATCGCGTTGGTTATTTAACACCATAGGGGCGCTCAGACCTATCTCTCCATAATACGGGAACCGGATTGGTAGTTAACATCACAACGGCGCTCAGAACTCTCTCCATAACTGGAGGAAGGATAAGTCCCTAGCTCTTTCTTTCTTACATTCCCTCTTTCTTTCGCACGTTAAGATGCATGGAATCTTTTTTGGAAGCACGTCAATCAAGTAAAGGAAAAATTATTCACCAATCACATCTTTTTAATAGTTAATTATGCGCATGAGTAGTCAGATATAATCGTTCCAATTAAAAAAATCATTTCATCCAAAATATTAATATTTCATCAACTTCAGTTTCATCTTTACTCACCGCTTACTACTAACACGATCCTACTTAGATCAGTTGCTTGTGTGTCAAGAGCTCAGATTTTTTCGGAAAGACCAGAGGAACTAATTGTAACAAACTTAGTTATTTCGAAATATTTTCCTGGTCACATGCATGCATGTGGTGACCGGGAAACCTTGAGAAGGAAACCCCAGAGTAAATTTGTTCAGTGAGGATAATGATTAGAAAATGCCCCTGAGCTGCATGCGTGCAGTTGCTGCATAATATTCTGAAGTTATTTTCCTTTGCTATCCAATTGGATATATTTTAATGATTGAAATGTATGATTGATGTGCAATAAATTGCAGGCAAAAATGTTAATCGTCAAATTTTAATTCTGCTTAATCAACAAAATATGGGGAATAACTATGAAACCCTAATAAATTAATTAAATATAGCAAATAATATTGCTACGTAGAATAGTTATTGTATTTCATTCGGGAATTTATATTAGAATACATTCGTTTTCTTATCTCAATCGGAAAAGAATTAAAATTCTGCTGATAGTTTTTTTGTTTTTACACCATTGAAAAACACAATAACTTTAGTACATTTTACTTATCCCAAAACTATTACAAATGACCAAGACAAGCCGTTAGAACGAATTCAAATTTAATAATTTTCTTCGAGTTACATTTCATCGAAATGAAGAATATTCAGTGATTACATTGCGATTTGACCTTTGCAGAGTTTCAAGAACTGTGTAATGGGTCGTATAAAGTACCTTATACAAAAATTTAAAAGCAAGGATTAAACCACAAATGTTCATATCTTTATGGAAAACGTTTCGGAGTCCAGCTCCATCGTCAGTTCGTAGAATCTATAATTTACATAGAAAGTCACAAATTAGTACAATTGAAAGCACAAAAAACACAATTAAAATCCTAAACTTACAAGTACCAGGGCACAAAACCTATCTATTCACAATTTCAAGAGGATAGGAGCTACCAGCTGAATTTAAACTGGGACTAAGTTTAAAAATGTACAATGATTCTAAAATACGCAAATCTCAAGTACCGGAGGTGGAAGCTAACACTCTAAAGTCACTGTCAGAAACAGGGACACCACACTGCTCGGCGTGAGTGGGCACAGCCGAATGAGGGGGGCGCGATAGTAACTGTCCGGTCCTACAACTCCTGCCCTTATGCTCAGCGACCCTGGAATAAAGATTGCGAGACGTCATCCCGACGTACGCAGATGCACATTGTGCACAACGAAATTGATAAACCAGGGACGATCGCATATGAACATGGAGCATATCTTTATATCTAAAGAAAGAACCGATTTTGAAACTGTTTACCAGAACAATATGAAGTNTATCGCGCCCCCCTCATTCGGCTGTGCGCACTCACGCCGAGCAGTGTGGTGTCCCTGTTTCTGACAGTGACTTTAGAGTGTTAGCTTCCACCTCCGGTACTTCAGATTTGCGTATTTTAGAATCATTGTACATTTTTAAACTTAGGCCCAGTTTAAATTCAGCTGGTAGCTCCTATCCTCTTGAAATTGTGAATAGATAGGTTTTGTGCCCTGGTACTTGTAAGTTTAGGATTTTAATTGTGTTTTTTTGTGCTTTCAATTGTACTAATTTGTGACTTTCTATGTAAATTATAGATTCTACGAACTGACGATGGAGCTGGACTCCGAAACGTTTTCCATAAAGATATGAACATTTGTGGTTTAATCCTTGCTTTTAAATTTTTGGTTAACTTGCGATTTAAGCAAATAAGTGACATCAATTCTTTAGTACCTTATAGCTTTGTGTTGATCAATAAAGATGAGCACCCCAGTTCTGGAGTGTATGTAAAACATTTAAATCGATTATATATCCCAAAGAAGTATCTAATATCGTGATTGAGTAGGACATTAGCCCTAGGTTAAGCACCATGTTTTTAGGAACGAATTGTTCCCAAACTTTACCAACTGCAGTGGTTTAAAAATATTGTGAGTGCTTGGTTAATCGTGGGTAAATGGACTCTAACCCGTTATTTTTAGCCATTTGGTACGCGCTGCGCTCAACTTTGCTTATACATTCGTTCTCTATACTACTACTTGGGATAGCGATTTCTAGAGAAAAGCAATCTGCTCTATTGAACATGGGTCATCACATAAGGAATTAGGTTAGAAATATCGCTATGCGGTCTTTTGAAAAACGAGAATCGAATTGACGGATGACCTGGCAAGCTTAGTTTGGCTTCTGATCACAACGGAATCGACCCATTGCCTTTGAATAAATGATATCACCATCACTGATTCGAAGAAATACTTGACTGATTCACAGCTTCTACCTGAATCTGCACTAACTTCGTTTGGCATTGCAAAACACTTCGATCCCGTCCATAAATTTCTCGTTTGAATTTCCATCCAAGAAGGACATAAACAAGGACTTCATCAGGCATCTGCAGAATTGTGCTCCAAAATATGGTGAACCGTCATTGCCTCTGCGTTCCAGCTCTGCCTTTCTCATTGACGCCAGCAGGTCGGACACGAGGGCGCCTAGAGGGGCTCCCATGGCGTGCTCCTCCCAGGCACGGAACGTCATCTGGCAACACCCGACGTGGTGTCAGACATTTTATTTCAACCCTGTGCCGTTTGAATTTACAGATACATATGTTAACTATCAAAAACTATGAATTTAATTGTTTTATTTATACTTTATTTGGCAGTCGGTTCGTCTAGTTCCTCAACTACTAACCCTGTTGAATGCATGATAGTTGAAGTACTCGTCGGTCAAGAAGCGCCCCCTGAAGCCGTGCAGAATGGAGAACCCCACATTATGTATGCGAGGGCACCGATAGTCGGATTCCATGCACTGCTCCATATGGCTGCTCCACTCACATCCAAGCTGATGAAGCAGGTGTGGCTTCTGCACGTTGATAGTGCGAGTAAATAACGAAAAGTCGAAATACGGCGGTCTAAAATGTCTCGTGCCGCGGTGAGATAAACCTATTATCTGCTTGATTGACTAATTAGCAACAACCCTACTCTGAGAAGGATGATGAAAGACTGGTTTTAATGAAAAACTATCGAATGAAAGTATGAGAAAGTAAAATGAACATTTATTGTAATTAAATTTTAAGGTAAAATTAAACTAATTTGAAGAGTGTAGTGAAAATGGGCTAGTTCTAGTAGAAATGAATAAAATACAAAACTCGCATTTTATTCGATTATTTAGTTCATTGATTCAACTTCGTGAATGTTGTTCGTTTCTAATGGGTAGGTAAGTACGTTAACATTATTTGAAAAAAACATTTCATGTACACTAAACTTCGGAAATTAGAGGATGAGGGTGGTCTTCAGATCGTGTTAACCTGAACGTGTTCAAAACGTCCTCCACCTCATTGTTTCATGTTCAGCTCGCTTCCTACCTCAATGAGTATCATGTTGAGCACATCTTGGTCCCCCGACTGGATGCGGTCTCTGAAGGCCGTCATGATGTCCTCCAATGTCTGCTCTTCGAAAGGCTTCTGCCTCCAGCGTGTCAAGTTTACGAGCAGCGGAGCGCCACAAAAACCCTTACCCACGAACGGCACCTAAGATTTTAGGAGGAAGTTATGTCTTCATTTTCTATACAAAAGGAAAAACGACTAGCCTGCATGTGGTGGACAGGAGTTCTATTTGGTGGGTATCACACGTGCATGAAACTTCATTAGTTAGTTATTGAACTAATTCTCATATCACTTACAGAGCTTTAGTAGTGGAAGTTCTTTTTAGCGTCGCGTGAGTGCGCGTGTTTGGGAGCAACCCAAATATTTCTATAAATATGCCCAGTTTAGAGCTAAAATTAGTACCACAAAGGGTCCTTTGACAAAATAACTATTGTACGTTTATTATAGATGATCGTGACATGGACGAAGTGCTGGGAACTCAGTTTGAAGAAGTTTCCATCAACCGACCGCAACCCAAAACAGGAAAAGAAAAATGAAGTCCTTCAAGAACTACAAGGTTGCGGGGTTTCGGTGAACATTGAGTTCGATACCGGACCTACAGATGAGTATCCAAAAACTAATTACCTTTTCGGCAGCGAGACCGGATGAACTGCCTGAAAGAAAAAGAAAGGAAAAAGCATCTCGTAGCGCAGAAGTTCACACTGACTTTGCTATGAAAAGCATTGTGGAGAGATGGAAACGTTTCATGCTACCTCAATGTGAGAATGATTAGTACTTTCTAAATAGAGGTCCATGAGATAAAGCCAAAAATTTAAAGCTGGCGGCTTCAATGGATCATGACCTTAATCATGAAATCAAGGTTTATGAGAAAGTCGAGGCCAGGAAATTGGTGCAGCATATGGAAAAATCAGACTTCTACAATCGAGAACAGCAAGACTCCCCCGAAATGCCGCTGCTGGTTTCAGTTGATGGCGCACTACCACAACCTATAGTCAATTCAATGTTGGCAGCATTCGTTCACTCTTGTTGCAAGATTCAAAGTAGAACTGACTCAGACCAGCATGATCTGTTATCCTCGCGTACGAGCTGAAAACCAAGCTGTTGTAGGTTCTAGTTGCACAATCGGATAAAAATTTCGTCTCTACCAAAAGCAAATTTTTGTTGATAGGAATTGAATGAGATAACGATAAAATGCGACTAAATGCGCTAAAAATATTTCAAGGTGATATTAGAGTCCAATAAAATAACCAGCAAACTCACAGAGTACAGAAACAAGTGACAGTATAATCCTCTGGTCAACCTATAGGTTTAAGAGGAGGGGTGGGGTAGGTACTGGCGCATGAGGCTAGGAAAACAGCTTAGCGTCATTCGATTTGTGCCATACTTTATCACTGATTTATCATTGAATATTAAATATTCATTCAACAGTATCACCACAAAATTCCAGGTTGATTTTCAAAAGTTTAACAATGAAGTCAAAATTGATCCGAAATTAACTTTTTCAAAATTTTCAACGACTTTACGGCAACGCTAGATATTGGTTGGAAAATCGTTCGATGGGCATTCAGGTTGTAAGTGTCCACATAAAAAATTGTCGTCGGAGTGCGATTTTCCAAAAAAAGTTGGTTTTTCCTTTCACCCTAGTATACAGTCACAAGCTCCAAGTGACACGCACTTGCGATTTGGTAACTTTTGAACAAGGACAGCCAGTGAGAGAGAGCACTCCACTGTTAATATAGACGCCACAGAGGCCGTCTATTGTTAATGTAATGATGTCAGTCTTACTTGGGTGGTATGCGACGAGTAGTATCCATCCATGGGAGCCATTCCAAATATCTGCGTTTGGTCGAAGAGCTGGAACTTCTTGACCAGTAGTTCAGGCGCACGGAGGAATATCATGTCAGTGTCGAGGTAGACGACAGCATCGACGTCTGGCAACACTCGCGGCAGGTACAATCGCTCAGTCGAGCATTTGTCGTACAATTCCAGTATTGAGGAGTCCGACGGAACGTATATTTGTCTGAATTCTAATGAAACTCGGGTCGAGTATTCCGAAGGCCATTGCGTTATTTTTGAACAGACTTTCTTGTATATATCAATGTCATCGCTCAGCAAGATGAACCTATAGAGACAGAAATTAAATAAAGTCTTACATAAACGCTCAATACTATTGTCCACAAACATAAGTAACGCGAACAGTGCAAAGGACGTTTACCTACAGGAATATTTTAATCTTGAAAGTTGAAATGCAACCAGATGATATTATGAATTGACATTCGACAGCGTTAGTTGAAGTGGTGTGCCACAGTATGAAGCTTTAAGTGGGAGAAAACCACAGTTTGCGTGTTTTTGTCTACGGCTGTGCCATGGTTTCCACACACTCACCACCTATGAATCTCCCCTCCCGTTCCCCAACTTTAGGTAGAAAAGGGGGAGCGCAGCCGTGGGTAACAAAATCGACTCGTAAACAGGCCCTGGGCCCAACGCCAACCATCAGCATGCAATATCTACACATAGCCTCAGATCAATGAGCTGTGGATAACTCCGGCTAACAGTAAATCCGCTTTGCACAACACAGCCACTGCTTCACAGCGCCGGAGCACAACTGGCCGGAGCGCAACAGGCCCTACCGCAACAGGCGCAGGTTAGGTTAGGTTACGTTAGGATAAGCCTGTTGCGGCAGGGCCTGTTGCGTTCCGGCCAGTTGTACTCCGGCGCTGTGAACCAGTGCCTGTGACTGAGCGGCGCTGTTGTGGTGGGCGCTATGTGTCGAAAGCCGTGAAGATGCCCGGCTGCGTTACGCTCGGGAAGATATATGAATCGCACTGTGGACTTGGGCTATGCTGACCTCTAGCTATCCACCCAAAAAAAGGAAGGCAGAAAAAGTGTGTGCCCACGTCACCGACAGAGCAGTCCCAAATAAGAAGGTGGGGGTTCGATGTTAAAGGATGAACAGGATCTACAGGATATCAACAAGACCCGCAGGCTCTTCACTCCAGCACTCTTACTTGGCGTAATTCAAGCTAATTATTCACACACTATATTTACTACTTCTGATAATATTTTAATATGTCCGTTATCATTTTACTTTGCTTCGATCCTATTATTAATAACAATATAAAAGTGATGATAAGGTCGCCTATTTTTAAATGACCACACTTTTTATTGTGGAAAGCGGAGTCAATTGCTTTCTGTGCTAGTGTGCACAACCGCTAACGATACTGAGGGAAACCGTAATGCGGGTAGGAGATGAGGGTCCATCTGGTCTTTGCACAAATTTGGGGTGTGGGTTTAATTTTACTACCTTTCGCTTCAATTTTACTTACGTCCCTGGGTCAAAAATAAGCATAGTCCGGTAAAGTGCAATTATTGTTACTATATATGTTATGTTATTTTTTATTATGTTATTATAATATTACATAATATTATATATTATGTTCCAATGTCACTCGCCCGATATTGGAAGAATGCACCAGTATCGTTATGCGATGCCCCGATCCTATACGACTGGCGATAGCTGAGGCCCTCATCATTAAGGAGAGGACTCCAGCTATCAACCTTCAAAAGTTCAAACCACCGGCTTCGTCAGAACTTTGAGATTGTTTTCCGAGTAATTTAATTTAATTTTCAACCTTCCAACACCTACGAAGAATTTAGTACGACTTATTGAAAAAACTAACAAGAAGCTAATAAATAAAACTAATTCTCTGGTCTTTACGGGGACCGACTACCCTCCGGAAAAACTTCTACAGTTATTATCCGATCATCATGAAACTTCACAAACATACGTAAAATGTAAAAATAAGAACATTTTGCTTCTATGAATTTTTCGAAAAAATTGATAGAAAACGTGAAATTCATAGAAAACGGCTAAAAAGGGGTACTTTAGAAAATCTATCTCCTCCTACAAATGTCATCCTACAACATCGAGACACGTATCATTCGGTTTGTAAGGACCATACCTATAGATTTGATGATCATTTTTCTCATTTTCCCCTCAGTTTTTTTTATGTGCGTTATATCCCATTTTTCTCATTTTTTCGTATTTTCCCCCCTCCCCCCCCTTCTCCCCCATATAAAAACGAACCAGACAGAAATTCAAAAAATGATCATCAGTTCGATAGGTATGGTCTTTGCGAGTCGAATGGTATGTGTCTCATTGCTGTAGCTTGAAAACTGTAGGAGGAGATAGGTTTGCCGTGCGACCAATCGGAGGTTTTCAGGACGCCCAAAAAACTGCCGGGCGGTACGTAAAATGACGTAAAAGAGTCGTAACGTAGCCAACATACCGCAACCAAGCCTTAAAACTAAGTGAGGAAGGCATAGAGCGAGTGGCTGCACACCTTTCACCTCGCTGTCATGATGGGCACTGAAAGACCTGGCTGCATCTGGCAGTATATCAAGTCACGCCCCGTAATTAATGCCTTAGGAATTTGTTAAGGCCGCCCCCCACCGCCCCCCGTTCCTGGGGGGCTGTTACGAAATCATTTTTCGACGTAGAGGGATGATTCTGGTACGGTTGGATGCGTCAAAAAGTAAGCTTTAAGATGAGCACAAAAACCGGAAAACGCCAAAATTGAAAATTTTAGGGTAGTCGGTCCCCTTAACAAAGACCAGAGAATTAGTTTATATTGATATTTCATATCAATAACAGTTTAAGGGGAGCGTCTACTCCAAAATCGAAAATTTTGACTTTTTCGGTTTTTATACTCATCTTAAAGCTTACATTCTGACGCATCTAACGGTACCAAAACCATCTCTGCGCGTTGATTTATGCGTTCATGACATATCGCGAAAGAGTTAGGGGTGGTAGAGTTCTTTAACATTTAAGATAGGTCGAAATTTTCGGTAGCGCACTTAAATAGCTAGTCTGAACACGCTGTGCTTCAGTTATCCGTCTGCAGTCGTACGGGATGGTTCTCGTGCCGCCGTTCGAGCCACTCGTGACAGAAATTGAGCTCCAGTATCGTCTAGTCTTGCAACCTTGCACTCTTGAATGTCTATTTCGAGGCATACGCGACTTTGTCTGGCTCTACTGAAAAGTTAACTTATTGTCACTGCAAATCTATCTCCTCCTATAGTTTTAAAGCTACAACAATGAGACATATATCATTCGATTTGCAAGGAAAAGATCTAAGAACGCTAGTTAGCGTGTTTCTAATTTCGTTATAGTTTGGATTTTATTTTGCAAAAAGGGGGGTGGCAGTGGGTAAAATCGAAAAATTTCCGAAAAATTTACAAAAAATGCCCCTACGCCCACAAAAATGAGAATTTCAAAAAACGCATAAGCGTTCGTAGATATGGTCCTTGCGCATCGAATGATATGTGTCTCGATGTTGTAGCTTAAAAATCCTAGGAGGAGATAGGATTTCTAAAGTACCCCCTTATTGGCCGTTTTCTAATGATTTCGCGTTTTCTTTAATTTTTTTCGAAAAATTCACAGTAAAAAAATTTAGAATTCCTTTTCTACATATACGTACCAAGTTTCAAAGTGATCCGTCTGTGAATAATCAAGATAAAATTTGTGGTAGACGCTCCCCGTAAGGAGAAGTATTCGAAATTTCAGTCGGATATCTCATTAACAAGAGGAGTTAGAGTGGAGAGGCTTTTTGAAGGAGTCTCGTAGAAGACAACCGAGCCTGTATGGTGGCTATGTGTTGTAACGCGGACTCTTGATAGTCTTTTTGTCTGACGTAAGCCTCAGATAGGCTGCATGGTAGGGTGGAGCGAAAGAGTACTTGTTTTAAAAATTCGCTGTACGATTGTGACTTTTTATGCGTGAAGCAGCCGAATGAATAACGTTTAAATGATTTTCAAAACAAATAATTTCTAGAATTGGCGCAAAACCATTGAAAATTTATACAAACGAAATTTCTGCGTAATTTTGACTGTTATGCAAAATTTTCGGAACTTATCCTGAATTATTGAGGTGATAATGCCGAAAAAATATTTAGAACTTGATAATAAATCAGTAAACAAAATAAGGCACGCCTCGATGGATACTAGAGGGTCTTCTAAACTCATACACAAGTTTAATTGACGAGCCAGTCCCTATACTCCACTCCCCTTCCCCAACACCTACAGTAGGTTGACCGGAGTATTTCACTCACGCTTGTGTCCCGGTGGGTCTGCACGTTATTTTGGAGGACTATTATTATTTCTGAAATGTTATTCGGAGCATGTCATATTGTACTTCATCTTCTTCAACGCTTTACAATAAATACTTTGTTTCAAATAGAGATGGGATTCATATTCGATTTTACCGTTAAAGCTCAAATTAACGCCTAGTTTTTAGCATCACTACGAGTATAACAGGCCATGTTAACGTGCGTCAGTTGTTTTTTTTTTAAGCTTGCAACATTAGTGAGAGAATGTTGCCATCATACCACGGTAAAACGTGTTGTTGGAGCGTGAACAAGGAAAAAGCAGTTCGTGCTCATATTCATCAATTACACTAATCCTGACGTCAGTATAGCTCAGAAGTTAAACTCTATAATGAAAATGGCATTAATCCTTTAGTCTGAATGAGTGGCTGAATGAGTTAAAACATCAGGCTTTGTTGATAAACAGAAAGCAAAAATATTCAAACAGCAAAGTATTCAAACAGCAATGCGATAAATTCAAATAAAAATAAAAGTTACTTATGGTATTCGCTGCTGCAATTGCTACAGATTCAAAAACTTCTCCGGAAATAATAGAGGTAAGAATTGGTACCGCCATTGGAACAAGCCGCTCTCGAGGACCAACGCAAAATTATGAACATTCATAATACGCGACACATTTTGGACAAGGAAGAACAACCTATACGTATTTTGGAAATATCATGACCAACAACAGGACTTGTCTCGCTAATCAACCTCCTATACCTTCGCAGAAAATATCAACATGATGAGTTGTTCTTCGTCTTATTCAACTTGAAAGGTATGTAGCAGTTTTGCTTCGATTTTTTTTCATAAGTGCATGCATTGAAATTTTGAATGATGACCTTCAATGGTTACTTGGATACTTAAATTGTACGTTTCATCTTCTAACGTTTTCTGTACACCGATCAGGTTCCCTAACAATAAAGCTTTTCCCGCAGAATGAATGGATTTGACGATATAATTAAGATGATGAGATATTACCATTTTGTTGATATTGTTGTCAAAATTGGAAACTGCTATGAGAGACAGCGGTCCTAGACTAGTTCATAACATTTGCAAACTGCGGGTCGACAGAACTTCATCGTCTAAAGTTTATCCTGTATTATCAACTTAAACGATTGATTGACAGTAATCAAGAAAGGCTTGTAGAAAAGAGGGCACTTTTTTGTCTATATACTGCAGAACCGCTTCTGGTGTCGCAATGCCAGCAAGAAACATCACAGGGTGTATATACAATCATCGCATTGACATTTCTTTCGTCGATGCCTGATATTTTAAACCAGTCTTCATCTATGCCTGATGTTTTAAATAATAAGTGGTAATTGTTTCCTTTCTGTATACACTTTCACTCAAGGAAATGGCGCCATTTTCATAATAGAACTTTTATCCTGGTTCTCGCTCAAACAACATATGCTTCAAACACCTTAGTATTTTGATGAAATAAGTCTGCATGCAATAATCAAGATTTCAAAATAACAAGAGTCCGATAAAATAACCTGCAACCCACCGGGACACACGCGATATTGAAATCCTAACCTTAATCAAGGGTTGGGGGCGGGGTGGAGCGGGGACTGGCGCGTCCTTTAACTTGCGTATGAGGCAATAAGAACCTATTGGCATAGATCGATTAGTATTTTATTTTGTGTATTAATTTATAATTGATGAGTAAATATTTAATCAGCATTATCACCGCAATAATCCCAGTTAATTTAAAAAAATTTGACATTAATATCATAATTTGGCGGAAATTCGCGTTTTTTCAATTTCCAATCGCGTCAAATTAAAAAATTGTTTGCTTGGAGAATTCTTTGAATAAGACTCATTTGGCAGGTTTTCACATAAAAAATTATATTCGTGCTGCGAACTCAAAAAATAAAAGATTTTTCGCTTCACCTTACTGCATAGCTTTCCATGGCGAGGGCGGCGCATCAGCGTGACCGTATAGGCTGAATCCTAAACTGGACATAAGGTCATAAGGTCTCGGTGTTCGTTCATCCAATCGCTTAAATGTCTCTCATTTCACAAATTAGAAACAATTTCAGAATTTTTATGCTTATTCTGCTACTTATTCATACTGTTTAGACTTTGACAAAAGATAATAAAATTTTGTACATTATTAATTTAGGGAAAGGAATTTTTTTTATGAAGCACCGTATACCTTTTACATCTTAACCGCAGGCAGCCAATCGAGGACTGTCATTACCTTGGTGTAACGAAAGCGTTGTTCATGCGCAGTGACGTAAAGTTATGAGTAGTGACGGCAAGTTATGAGCAGTGACGTAAAGTTATGAGTAGTGACGGCAAGTTATGAGCAGTGACGGCAAGTTATGAGTAGTGACGGCAAGTTATGAGTAGTGACGGCAAGTTATGAGTAGTGACGGCAAGTTATGAGCAGTGACAGTAAGTTTTGAGTAGTGACGGTAAGTCTTGAGCAGTGACGGCAAGTTATGAGTAGTGACGGCAAGTTATGAGCAGTGACAGTAAGTTATGAGCAGTGACGGTAAGTCATGAGCAGTGACGGTAATTTATGAGCATTCAGCTTGTGCTGTCAACATGTTTCCGCGCTTTCTTCAAGCCTGAGCGAAAAGTTTTACTGGCTCGTGCCAAACGCCCGTTTTTCATCCGTCATATTCACATCCGTTGTTGCCTGCAGAAAAACTTAGCTGTAGTTATTTCGTTACAGCGATTACGAACCGTTGACTGTTGATGACGGCCGAATTGACAAGCGAGATCAAATTTTACCCTGATCTGCTTTCCCAGAGCTCTGAAAATTTTCATCGTTTTAAAGCAGACCCTTACGATCGGACATCGCTCATGCGCACCTGAGGCGGGTGCGGGTGGCGAGGGCGGCAGACTTGAGCAGCACGATAGTCTGCCGCAGCTGCCGCTCGTCTGTCGTCACGCCAGCGATCGCCACCGACCGAGAGCCGCCTGCGGATAAGTATTGAATTAATTCACTTCCGTCTGGTCTCATATTGGGTGAATTGATTCGTACTGTGTACTCAATCACATTTCAGATGGAATTAGAAAAATGAAAGTTTAATTAGGCACAAAGTTGACGGCGATGATCCATAATCTCAACTTTATTTCAGGTATTGCAAACCTCCCACAACAAAAATATAAATAAAATCGACTAAAAAATAATGCTTTGTGTTTGATCTTTTTATCTTAATTCAAAATTAGCATTTAAATTTCACAATAATTCATCCAGTATTGAAAACTATTACTCGCGTAATTCACCAACCTGTACACAGGGTAAACACGAAGGCTACGGGATGAGTTTGGAGGTTGACGTGGTAGAGGCCACGTTGGTGTAAGGGAATTTCGATGGCGGTGTGACTCACACTATACCACCGATATATCGTACATGACGCAAAAAGCACTACCAACACAAAGCTCAGCTTCCGTGGCTTCATCATGCCATCACTTTTATAGGAACTTGATTTTACTAGGGGGAAAATTTGGAAATTGAGTGAAACCCTAAAGATATTATGTCACTGTCAATTTTCATATATTAGTCAAGAAGCTGACGATGAGGGGGATATGATTTTCTAGAGGCCACAGAAACGTGAACTGTACTCTATAGACTAAATAGCTGGTACTCCTGGCGTTGCTTGAAACAGCTATTTCGAATTGGAATTCAGCTTGAAACATCATGCTGAATTCCAGAATTTCTAATTTCATTACTGATCGTCAGCTAAGGTAATGTTAATAAGAGAAAAATTCATTTAAATGCACATTTTACTTAAAATTCAAATCAAAACTACTCAGTTGGTGAGTTGTACTGCTATTCCACAAATACTAATTAGCCCACTGCAATTACGTTATGAATTTTAATGCAAGAAAAACGCTATTACAGCATGTCTTCAAAAGGTATTTCGGTGTTGAAAAGAATATGTGAAAACCCCTGATGAGTATGAGAGCATGCAGCAATTGATAAACAATAAATTTGACAGAGCAGCTTAATCGCAAACTCTACCTTTCCAGGCTACGGAATCACTGTTTTCCACCAGAATGAAATTAAAAGACTTTATGCATGAATATTAACGATAAAATAATATAATTAAATCTCTACTACTAATAAATTTATACAAAAGCAGTATCAAAAAAGTTCAATGATTCAAGCACTGCGGCCATACAAACGCAACAAACAAAACTAATTCCGATCAACATGGTTCGGAAACGTCAACTGCTTGAGGTGAACGCAAACAAAAGTGACTATAATAAACATGTTGAACATTGAGCTCTCATAAGTAAAATATACCGTGGATCCGTGGATGAAAACCATTGGTGTTCTGTGTCACTTGTACTTGGGCATGGGGAAGCTGCCGAATAATTAAGGTAAACTCCAAATGCCAAATTCAAGAAAAGCCAAATCCTTGTCCTTCCACCTTATTAACAAGAATTTTCCTCATAATTTCAAAGAAATAAATGCAGCGTAACAATATAATTGCCATAAGTGAACCCCGTCCTTTAAATATGCAAAAATACATAATCAACGATGCTTAATTTCGGAAAATGATAGAAGTCATCTCCAAATGTATGTGCAGTAATTAGACAAATCGCGGACACCAGTGGGTCCAGAGAGTAAAATGATTACAAAACACGCAGTGTTCATTAGAAATTAACATTGGTAAGTTATAATTTGTGTGTTAAATGCTCTCTTACCACAGCAGCAAAAAATAAAGAAGGCACGATCAGTTATCGAAAGCAAGTATAGCTCAACTGCCATGAAAGTGGTTACAAAAATTACTGAACGTCACTCATATTATGGGCTTGAGGCACAAGTCATTCTCGACGTGAAAATTTATGCACAAGAGAGAGGATACTTGTACGAAACGGAAAGCAGAGAAAACGGGACATTACTATCGCACAGAATGACTTAAATGGTTCCGCTGTTGCCAACACGAATCTGTGAAAATCCTACAACATTGGAAAAAGTTCTAAAGGTACTATAATGTTCCGAGAAAATAAGTTTCATCGCATAATGTCGAGCCGGCCTTTCTTATTTAAAAATGTGTCTACCTTACTTCTTCTATTTATGTACTGTTATAACTGGCTGATAATCCCGGCATTGCTGGGGGATTGATAATCCGTGCGGTAATAGAATTAATTTATCGAACCGTTTCTTATAGCTATTGAATTGGTAAACTGAAACATACGCTCGATGCAAAATAAAAGTTTTCCTACGTTTGGATTTCAAATTTAATTTGAACAAAGAAGCAACTAATTGGTTGATGGAAAATCTATTCATTTAAATGCTGAGAGTTGAATTTCAGATCCAGGTAATATCCCGACAAAAACGGTATGGCGAACACGGCGGCAGATCGCCCCTCTATATATCCATGCCAGGCTTCGAACACACGAACTTCCTGAAAAAATATTGTATCATTCTTGTTTTTTAGCGTGTTTGCCGAGCAGCGGGTGCTGGCAGATGTCGGCAAGCAAGCCGCGGATATTTGCAAAGGATGAACATAGAACATTGGATGCTACCTACTTTATGAATTTAATTCTTCTCCTAAACACCAGAAGACGTGATCCTTCATCACTTAACCCCCACTAACCTAACTACCTAGATGTTGTAACAAATGTGTGGGAGTTTATTCAATCGTATACATATACTGTTATACATTCAATACTATCAGGTTAAATGCAAAGACAATATTAAGCCTTCATTATGATTATAACTGATTTAATAGGACAAGACAAGATTTAATATTGTCTATCTCTCGCAAGAAGCGAGAGATAGACAATATTACCGTGATCGAGAGTTCAGTTCGAGCCATGAACGAGAGCGAACGCACGTGTTTGTGGCCTCAAATTTTTAAATTTCACTGTGCCGTTTCGGAGCTCTTTTCGCATTTATTTTTTATGGACTGTGTCAGTGAATGATCGAATTTCAGTGAAGTCACTAAAAGAGAGTGCGAATAGAAAGAACAAGTATAGAAAGATGAAAACAGTACAAAGAAAGAACACATGGAAAGAACAAGATAAAAACAGTAACACTGTTTTCATCTTTAATAACGCGGGCATATGGAGTAAGTGAGGGAAAGTGTGGAGCGAGTGAGGGAAGCGTGTGTGCCTCACCAGGACCCAGGACAGCTCAGCCTTTATTTCTTGCCCAACTCAGTCTACCTCTACCCTGAACACCTTACGCCTGCTAACCCCAACTCGCCGCTTTCTGAAAGCCGCTTACTCTCGAGTCTGTAACCGAGTTTTACAGTACTTATTAAATTTTTACGATTTTACTCTACTTGACTCAGTTTTTAAGTTGTGTTTTCTTAGCTCTTGCATTTCATGATGACTGTACAGACAAGAAAAAGGTCAATTGGAAAGGCCTCTAGTCGTGTTAGACTGAATGCGAAGATCAAATCACAAAATGAGCGAGGGGAAATTTGTAAATTTTGCAAGCTGGTTTTAGTTAATTTAGATGGCGCTACAGTGGTCTGCGATCGTTGCGGGGGTATCATTTGCAACAATTGTGCAAAGTTGAGCCCCTTTAGAGACTGCAAATTTTCGCAAGAAATGGCAGGAGAGACTCAGGCGGAAAAATACGGAGATTCAGATCAATCACTCTCACGATGTCAAGACAACACCGGCCGCACACGATCAGTAAGCGGAGCTGGTAGACAAGTAAGAAGTCATGTCCATAGAACCAGGCCTGTAAATAATGTAAGAAAAAAAGCATGCATCAAAGTGAATGTGCACAAAAAGATTTAAAATGTTTTTACACGAAATCGGATTCCGTTTTGAACAAAAAAGTGAGCTGTTAACTGTGATCGCAAACGAGTGCATAGACATTATTTGTATTACAGAAACACTCCCTAAAAATCACGGGGGAAGTGTTGCCAATTTCAGTTGCCAGGTTTTGATTGTTTTCATAACTTAAATGAAGAGCAGTGCAGTAGAGGTGTAGCTTTGTGGGTTAAAACCTCTTATGGGGCCCAGCAAATCAAGTTATCTGCAGAACATCAATCAACTAGAGATTCAGTGTGATGCGAACTTTCTCTCAAAGGCAAAGATAGCCTCCTCATAGGCGTCGTGTATAGATCACCAAACAGTTCCTCTGATAACGATACAGTACTAAACAGTCTTTTACCGAGCATGGCTTTCCGTAGGTCACACACGTTGATCGTTGGTGATTTTAAGCATCCAGAGCTAGAATCACCCAGCATCCTTGTTCATGAAGTCAGTGAGAGACTCCTTCCTAGCCCAGCACGTTACTAAGCCAACCCATTATAGAAGTAATCAGACTCCCAATATTCTAGACCTGGTGTTTACTAGTAATGAATCAATGTTAGATGAGCTTCGTCACGAGGCTCCATTGGGCAAAAGCCATCACCAATCATTGTTTTTCAGTCTAACGTGCTGTTCAGAAAAGACGCCTCGAAAGCGTGAGCGTTTGAATTTTGCGAAAGGCGATTATGAAAAACTCCGTGAAGCAGTGAATGCAGTGAATATTCCGAACTGTGTTAAGGACATGAATGTGGCTGAGTCATGGTCATTTTTCAATGACACGGTTATGTCTGCAGTTGATGCGTGTGTACCTAAAATTAAGCTTGGTGGAGCCAAAAAAACTCAGTGGATGAACAGTACAGTTCTAGCTAAGCTGCAAACAAAAAAGGACGCCTACCAGCGTTGTTTACAGACTCGTAGCGATGCTGACTATAACCTATACGCAAGAGCTCAAAATCAAGCTAAAGAAAGCTGTCGCACTGCAGTAAAAACCCTCGAAAAAAATATTGCTAGAAATGCAAAAAAGAACCCGAAAGCCTTCTTTTTGTACGCTTGCTTGAAGTCCAAGATAAAGGACGGTATTTCTGATTTGAAAGTCGCGTTTCGTTGATCGCGTAGATCAACGAAAGATATCCTCTGATGAGGGCAAGGCTAACGTTCTTAATCAGTTTTTCAGTAGCGTATTCACTGAAGAGGATTTGAACAGTATTCCAGCTATTGAGGAGCGCCCAGTCGGCTCTAAATTAACAAGTTTTGAAATACAAGAAGAAGAGGTTCTCAAGCGCCTTATCGCTGTAAATCCAAACAAGTCATGTGAACCGGACGGCTTCCACCCAAGATTACTCAAAGAGTTAACAACAGTCCTGGACGGCCTTTTGACGGCATTTTTTAAAAAAAAAAACTTTGAACAAAGGGATCTGGCCAGCCGACTGGAACGAAGCTCAAGTGACAACATTGTTCAAAAAAGGCTACAAACTGTCACTCCGTCAGTTTGACAATGCCGTTTGCGAGGTAATTGATCAATTGACTGTTAAGAATCTCATATCCGACTGTCAACATGGCATTATTGCCGGTAAATCCCGCATCACTAACCTCTTGTCTACTTGGAATGAATGGATCCACCCACTGGATGAATGGGAGCGTGTGGATGCAGTGTACCTCGATTTTGCCAAGTCATTTGAGAGTGTCTCTCATGAGCGGCTGCATA